ATTAATTATTAATGTTGAAACATTTTAGAAAATTGGAAGAAAATGACCTAAAGTAAATATTTACAAAATTGGGGAAAAAAAACTCAAAAATTAATTTTTAAAGGAAAAAATCCAAACCGCAAACCGTCGCAACTGCCCTCACATCTGCAAACTCTATCCACACAAACCACAAACCGCGCTGCAGGCAGTTGCGGTTTGACTTTTCTCCAAACCGCATAGGTGCGGACGGGTCAAAACCGGACCACAAACCGCACAAATCCGATTCGCAAGCACCCCTAACGGTAAGGGTAAAAGTGATACGATTTCAAAAATTTTGGGAGTAAAATTTAAATTATTCAAAGTCTAGGAATGTACTTGAAAATTGTGTAAAAGTATAGAAGTAAAAATGAAATTTGCTCTAAATTGAAGGACCAACTTGAAAAATTCAACCCCATTTTTGTAGCTCCATATTAAAAATAAAAAAAATAAAAAAGTATCTTAAAAAAAAAAAATCACTTACCAAACAGTAATTTTGGCTTTTCCCCTAATTTGAGACCCTTTAAAAAATGAAGAGGAGGTTGGGCAATACTTAATAATTTCCCCTTAAGAGGTCAGGCCGTCATCAGACATGCAAGATTTTCCAAATCATTAAAAACAAAGGAAAAAAAATCCCTGCCACAGAACCTTCTTTTTTTTAAGGTTTCAAATTTTTTTCAAAATGTTTAGCAAACATTTTTTTTGTAGACCATGAATCTAAATAGACAAAACAAAATGATTTTTTTTGTAGACCATGAATCTAAATAGACAAAACAAAATGATTTTTTTTGTAGACCATGAATCTAAATAGACAAAACAAAATGATTTTTTTTGTAGACCATGAATCTAAATAGACCAAACAAAATGATTTTTTTGTAGACCATGAATCTAAATAAACCAAACAAAATGAGATTATTTATTTGCTTTGGTCCTTGGATTTTTATTTTTTTTTTTTGTTAAAAGTCGAAAATCAGCCTTGCCCCTTCGTGATTCGTACAAGTGAATTTTAATTGTATGAATCATGATGACTAATTTTTTTTTTTAACAATTATTTCATGTCTTTTTATCTCTTTTGCAGGCAACCCACAAGGCGTCAGAGTTTGTTTGCAGGTATCATTGCCCCTTCTAGCCTAATGGCAATGAGTGGCTTGAATCCTTGGCAGTGATTTTGTCCTTTCACCCCAATGGCTTGAATCATTGGCAGTGATTGTGTCCTTCACCCCAATGGCTTGAATCCTTGGCAGTGATTGTGTCCTTCACCCCAATAGCTTGAAACCTTGGCAGTGATTGCGTCCGTCACCCCAACGGCTTGAATCCTTGGCAGTGATTGTGTCCTTCACCCCAATGGCTTAAATCCTTGGCAGTGAATGTGTCCTTCACCCCAATGGCTTGAAACCTTGGCAGTGATTGCGTCCGTCACCCCCAATGGGTTGAATCCTTGGCAGTGAATGTGTCCGTCACCCCAACGGCTTGAAACCTTGGCAGTGATTATGTCCCAAGGGGTTGAATCCTTGGCAGTGAATATGTCTGTCACCCCAACGGCTTGAAACCTTGGCAGTGATTGTGTCCGCCACCCCAACGGGTTGAATCCTTGGCAGTGAATGTGTCCGTCACCCCAACGGCTTGAAACCTTGGCAGTGATTGTATCCGTCACCCCAATGGCTTGAATCCTTGGCAGTGATTGTGTCTGTCACCCCAACGGCTTGAAACCTTGGCAGTGATTGTTTCCGTCACCCCAACAAGTTGAATCCTTGGCGATGAATGTGTCCGTCACCCCAACGGCTTGAAACCTTGGCAGTGATTGTGTCCGTCACCCCAACGGGTTGAATCCTTGGCAGTGAATGTGTCTGTCACCCCAATGGCTTGAAACCTTGGCAGTGATTGTGTCCGTCACCCCAACGGCTTGAATCCTTGGCAAGGGCTTTCGTCAATTTCTTTATATTATGACATTTTGCCTTCACTAACCTTTTTTTTTTTTTTTGAAGCATGGAAAATACACTTGAATATCTTCGACATGACGAGAGGGATGTATTGGATAAACTAGTCCGAAAATAATTCGGCACAAACCTATCACTACTTTATTGTCACCTACCGAGTTGGACCCCTACATCCCTTTACATACAGCTTCTAAAGACTTGATCTATACAGGAATTCGAAACTGCTGTGAGATTCTCGAGAAAGGGCACTCCAAATCAATTGGTTCATTCCCTGTCTCAATCCTTCGTCCATTTTCTGAAGACCTTCACTGCTCTGAATTTAATACTCTTCTTAAGAGAATGAAGCATGAAAAACTGAAGTGGGATAATTCTTTTAATGACCGCGGCATTTCTACCCATTTGCAATCCCCTATATGGATTTTTTGGTTGAATGACGTTCTTTCCACATTTGCCCCTATTTTGAAGAAGTGTGGGATTTATGCTGCAATCTATGTATCCCAATTTGCTTATGCTAGGAATGTTTCCCTCCTCAAAGGATTCTTAGAGCGGTGGTCACCCGACACCAACACTTTCCACACCATTTACGGCGAACTTGGGATCTCTTTATGGGACCTTCATCGCATTAGCGGGCTCCCCAGTTGTGGCGAGTTTTATGAAGAGTTCACCCCCTCCAATGACATTTTATATTCGTCCCAGACATCCAAGGCGTGCCGCAGGCTTTTCAACATTTATGCCAGCTCTTGTCAATCCAAGAAGTTTAACCACTGGACTTTCAAATTCATTGACGAATCCCCAACTTCAATTAGTGATTTTCAACGAAAAGATAGAATTCCTGATGATGTGTATCTTTCTAATTTTTTGACAAGCTGGCTTAGCGGATTTGTCTTCCCTCACTCTTCTGAGGAAATTCGTCCGACGACCTTTCATGTAGCTACCAAAATGGCAGGTGGAACCTTATTTAGCCTGGCCATCCCCGTCCTTGCATACCTCTATCAGTCTCTTGGTAAAATGGCATCATCATCTTCACCTGGGAAGGAAAATATTCAAGGTCCTTTACATTACCTTTTTGGATGAATTTCACTATATTTTGCCAAGACTTACTCTCATGAGGATCCTCAGTCAATTTGTCCGATTCCTGATATTCATTTCATGCCATATCTTGGGTTTATTGGAAACCAATCGGCTGCCCAGTTTTTTACTGATAAATTTCCATTTGTGGACTCTCTCCTAACTTATCGTACGGAGTGTCAATTTAGGGCTCTTACTCATGAAAGTGAACCTTCAGGCATTCTGGTCGACTCTGAAAAGATATCACCTTTCCACCTTGGATATCTTATATCTTTAAGGCAAGGGATTTTAACTTTTAAAATGGGATTTAATTTCATTTTTGAACCGTACTCTCCTAACCGATATGGTCGTCAATTTGGGTTTGCTCAAGCATGCCCTATACCGCTTAATGTATCTTGTCGGCAGCCCTCTGAGTAGTATAAATTTTATTACAACTGGCGCCATATGCTACGCTGCGGTACAAAAGTCTCATTGGAGTTACCAGGCTCCCGATCTACTTCTCATGTAACCATGCCTTATGCCAATTGGTGGTTGGGAACTTCCTTTACCGTGCTCCAATATGTTACTCATTCCCAGCCGAAATCTTCACGCAAGAGAAAACTGGATATGCCAATTAAAGACCGAAAGACGAAGAATCCTTCTTACTCTAGAGCTAGGTCATCATCTTCACCTATTGCTCTGGAAGCATCATCACCTCAAAGAATGGATAATAGTCGACCACTTATTGCTCCTTCTCGATCTAGTTACTCGGTTTCAGATCTCCTTCATCTTTTCGAAGATATGTGTAATTCTCAATTTAAAATGAGATTTAGCTTTGAGCAAGTAGATTCTGGCCCTCAATTTGCCTGTCTCGCAAAGCTTTTTCCAGAGACTATGTCTATCAGTGATTGCACAGGAACTTCCCAACCCACCGTAGCGACAAAAACCCCAATGGATCAATTTCGCACATACTTGTACTCTTTTCTTGAAGATAAAGATGAGAATATGATTCAAGAACTCTTTGAGGGAGATGGGTATGAATTAACTGCCTTGGGTCGTATTCGCATTAAGAGTGTTGAAATTCCTTCTCCTACCAAATCTTTTGATTGTTCTCTCAATGGAAGTAGCGAGAGTGAAGATGAGTTTTATGACTACACCCCTCTTTTAGATGGCACACCGACTAAGATGAGTAAATCGCCTTCAGCAAATGTAGCTTTTTCTTCTCCTTCGAACGAGTCATCCAAGCTATTAGAGAAAGGTATAATTCTTTTTTTCTTTTTTTTCTTTTTTATTTTTTTTATTTTTTTATTTTTATTTATTATTATTATTTTTTTAATACTTTTCATTTTCTTAGACACTGCGCCTCGGACTTCCCCAGCTGCCTCGCATATGCCATTGGCTACCTTTAAGGGTATTCTTATTCATTCCTTGTACCTCATTTTATTTCATCATATATAGATACTCAAGGACCTCTTTTCTCTTTAGATCATGCCACATTGCAAAATCCATGTTCCACTTGTGGGAATCACAACTTGTCTCCTCCACCTAAGTCTCTTCAAGCCGTACACCAAGGTATACTTCATTCATCTATATATATATATATATTATTTTTACCTTCTACGTTTTCATTGAGTATCTCCTTCTATTTTCACAGAAAATACTTCTGACACATTGGAAGAGATAGACGAAATTACTTCTGATACCTTGGAAGAGGCCCAAATTCTTGCAGACTTACTTGAAGCAAATGGGGTTAACAAATTATTTGACAAACTTGAAGCACCCTTTGCTCCATCTAACCTTCTTTTGGGAACTTCCTCTAACGAAGCAGCCACCCATATTCAGAAAGGTCTTACTATTTCTCTCCAATCAATGACGGATGTTAATGGCATGATTGCTGTAGCAAACAACGTTTTCATGATTTTGAAGAGTTTGGGTGTACACTTCATCTCTTTTTATGAGAAGGTGAAGATATTCCTTGGGTGCTTTGCTTTGAAAGCCCAACTTGCAGATTCTTCAAACTTATCTACTGCAGAATTTGAGGCCCAATATTATGAGAAGAAGCTTCATTTCGACAAAGTTTCTGGCGAACATGAACAGTTGTCTGCTTCAATTATCAAGTCGGATGAGCGCATTGCGCGTCTTAATCAAAGGATTATTCAAACCAAAGAGTTACTCAAACAACTTGAAGAGGAATTGTCATCTACCCAAGCGGAACATGCATCCTTTATGTGTGATTTTGCACAAGCTTCCGAGAGTGTTTCTAAATCAGAAGAAAATGTGCAAACTGCTCTGAATGTTTTGAGCCAACACAAGAAAAAGAATGGACAACACAATGTTGTGGAACGTGCTTTTGAAAGGGCTAAGGCTTCTCTTAATGAATGAATACACTTTTATTATTTTTTTTTTTTTTATTCATCCGAACATAATGTATTTATGAAATTTCGCTCAATGCTAGATTTATTTGTTATATGAAATTTCTCAATACAATACATTCATTTGTCTTATTTTAGCCGTACACAATAGATTTATTTGTTTATATGAAATTTCTCAATACAATACATTGATTTGTCTTATTTTGGCCGTACACGGTTTATACTCTTGCGGGCCAAGAGTATCCAATGTTTTATCATCTTAGATTTCGATGAGGTATTTTAGCAGTTTAACCACATACAATACCGTTGGTCGTTTTTTACTTTTGTTTGGCCGTACACAGTTTATACTCTTGCAGGCCAGGAGTATCCAATGTTTTACCACCTTAGATTTCGGTGGGATATTTTAGCAGTTTAACCACATACAATACCGTTGGTGGTTTTTGAACTTTTGTTTGGCCGTACACAGTTCAAAAAATTGTGTTTAGAATGATTTTCTTAATTGAATAAATAGTTATGAAAAAAAAAATTTAAAAAAAATAATTGATAGATATATGTTGTGTGACATTTTAAGTTTTCTAACTTTTTAACCCTAACTTTTTCCTAGGCCGCCCTTTCGGATTTTCAACCTAGCAGGCTTTTTTTTTTTTTCTTTGCCCTAACTTTTGCCTAGGCCGCCCTTTCGGGTTTTCAACTTAGCAGGCTTTCTTAAGGGTAATATCTCTTCAAGAACCTTGCATTTGTTGGGGGAATGATTCTGTCACCATCCATCGTTATCAACAAATAGGCCCCATTAGAATAAACCTTCTCAATCACACAAGGTCCTTCCCATTTGGGCTCAAGCTTTCCTTTGGTTCTTCGTGAGACAACTATAGGTGTTCTAACCATTAGTACCAAGTCTCCCTTTTTAAAGAAACGAAACCTCACTCTTTTATTGCATGCATTTACCATCCTTTGTTGGTAGATTTCCAAGTTCTGTTGAGCATACAACCTTCTTTCATCCAAGGTCTCCAGCTCAGCCAACCTCACTCTTGCACTTTCATCTTCTGTTAAGGACTCTTGTATTGCCACTCGCAATGATGGTATTTGAACCTCAAGTGGTAACACTGCTTCTCTTCCAAAAACCAACGAATAAGGGATTGCTTGAGTAAGAGTTCTGTGTGAAGTCCGATAAGCCCACAAAGCTTCTTGCAACTTTTCGTGCCAAGCTTTTTTGTTCTTATCCACCATCTTCTTAAGAATTTTGCACAATGTCTTGTTGAAAGCTTCTGCCAAACCATTGGCAGGTGCATGATATCTTGACGAATGGTTGTTTTTGATTTTGTACTTGGCAAATAACTTGTTCAAAACATCACTCCTGAATAGCTGTCCATTATCCATGATGATACTTTCTGGAATCCCGAACCTGTAAATGATATGGGTTCGGATGAACTCAGAGACAACTGTGCTTTTTATATCCTTTAAAGCCACGGCCTCTGCCCATTTTGAGAAATAGTCAGTTGCAGTTAGGATATATCGATATCCTGTTGAAGATGGAGGTACAAAAGGACCAATAATGTCCATACCCCATGCTGCAAATGGCCAAGAACAAGTTGTTAAATGTAAAGGCTCTAGGGGTTGGTGGAGAAAGTTCCCATGGAATTGGCAGACTTGGCATCTTCGAGCATAATCTATGCAATCTGCAATCATAGTCGGCCAATAGTATCCCAACCGTTTTAGCTGCATATGTAATTTAGGACCGCTTTGGTGTGCCCCACATACACCTGCATGTATTTCTGCCATTACCTCTTGAATACGCTCCTTGGCTATACACCGCATGTACATTCCATCCAAAGACCTTTTGTATAACCCATCCTTCCACGAAACGAACTTGGTAGCCTGTGTCTCACTTCAATTCTTTTTACTTTATCTTCAGGTAGCCTACCATGTTGGAAGTAAGCTATGAATGGTTCCCGCCAATCCTCCTCGTTTTCTCCTTTCGTGGTGACGACCAAGATTGAAACCAAGTCAGAAACTTCTTTTAAAAGTTGTAACACCCTTCTTTCACCTACCGTGATAGTAATTGTTTTGCTACCTGGTAGAGTGAGTGATGCAGCCAAACTTGCAAGTGAATCAGCTCGAGCATTTGTTCTTCTTTTCACGTGGAAAATATGTGTTTTCCTGAATTGCGAAAGCAATTGATCAGCCCTTGCATGATACGGGATGAAACTTGTTTTCTTAACAATGTATTCTCCACAGAGTTGCTTTACCACCAGTTCCGAATCTCCATAAATTGAGAGTTCTTCAATAGGAATTTGTAATGCCAATTCTAATCCAGCAATTACAGCTTCATATTCTGCCTCATTATTGGAGCATCCTTCACTTAAGGCGAAAGAATGGGTGATTATAGCATTGTCTGGAGTCACAAACACAATTCCAATTCCAGCTTTATTGTTTTTAAGATTTTCTTGCTTCTTGCCATCTAGACTCCTTGAAGCTCCATCAAAATACATCTCCCATCCTTTTTGAATTTCTACTTGCATAACCTCTTCATCTGGTAAATCAGTTACTAGAGGTGAGTCATCAGGTATAGGATGTGCTGCCAAAAAATCTGCTAGAGCCTGCCCCTTTACAGCTCTTTGGGGAACATATTCAATTGCGAATTGTTGGAGAATTACAGCCCACTTTGCAATTTTCCCTGAAAGTATGGGCCGTGAAAGTATATATTTCAAGGGGTCTGCTCTTGATATCAACTTGACTTCGTGTTCCAAGACATAGTGCTTTAGTTTTTGCAAAGCAAACACCAAGGCAAGACATGTCTTTTCGATAGGGGAGTAATTGACTTCTGCCCCAACCAAAGTACAACTCAAGTAATACAAGGCATTTTCTTTCCCATGCTCATTATGTTGTGCCAACAGTGCCCCTAACGAACCATCCAAGGCTGTTATGTACAACAAAAGTGGTTTCCCTTTTATTGGGCTCATGAGTACTGGAGGCTTCAAAAGATACTCCTTAATACTATTAAAAGCATTTTGGCACTGCTGATCCTATTCAAATGGAACACCATTTTTCATCAATCTTGAGAATAGCAAACATCGACCAGCCAAGTTAGAAATAAATCTTCTGATATAGGCCAATCTCCCTTGTAGCCCCTTCAATTCCCTTAAATTTCGTGGAGGCGGCATTTCAGCAATGGCTTTAATCTTGGTAGGGTCAATTTCAATCCCTTTGTTTCGAACCACAAACCCAAGAAATTTTCCTGATGAAACTCCAAATGCACATTTTAGTGGGTTCATTTTGAGTTTGTACCTCCTCAAACGTTCGAAGATTTTTCTCAAATCTTCCACATGGTTTTCCTTTTCCTTTTCCTTTGTCATGACGACAAGATCATCAACATAGCATTCGATGGTGTCATGGAGCATATCACCAAAAATTACAGTCATCGCCCTTTGATACGCGGCCCCAGCATTTTCAGACCAAAAGGCATTACCTTATAGCAAAAGACTCCTCTCGGAGTCCTGAATGTAGTCATTTCTTCATCTTCAGGTGCCATTCGGATTTGATTGCATCCTGAGTATCCATCCATAAAAGACAAGGTTTCATACCCCAGCAGTTGCATCTACAAGAAGTTCAGTGATGGGCAAAGGAAAGTCATCTTTAGGACAAGCCTCATTGAGATCACAGAAATCAATGCAAACCCTGATTTGACCATTCTTTTTCTTGACTGGCACTATGTTTGCTAGCCAGGTTGGATATTTGACTTCCTTAATGAATCCTGCATTGATAAGCTTGTCGACTTCGGCTTCAATTTGGGCTGTAAGCTCTGGTCGAGTTCGCCTCTGAGGCTGTTTAACTGGCCGTTTCTCAGGGTGAATTGCAAGCTTATGGACTGCAATCTCTGGATTAAGACCAGGCATCTCACTGTAGTTCCATGCAAATATGTCACGATACTCCCTTAAAAAGAAAATATATTGCCGAGCTTCTTCTTCTTTTAAATTTGCACTAATGAAGGTTGGTTTGTTTTCTCCTTCATCACCCAGATTTATTTCATGAAGGTCATCCACGGTAGCTTGGCCTCCTGTTTCAAATTCTGTTGGTGCAGGTTGAGCTTCATCTTGGTCAACATCTTCCAACACATCTTGAGTGATGGTCATGTTTACTAGAAATTTTTTCTCATCCCCCTGATAGCCTAACCCTTCTGTCCTGGCGGTGATAATACCGCCTTGCTGGATAGCCTGCCTCTGTGAAGGTATTAATGCAAAGTCAAAGGGTGTCATTGTTCCTGGTATTTTTTCAGGATCTAAACCAACTTTTACCAACATCTGTGTGATTTCTACACTGAAGGTAGGCTTCTCAAAACTCGAGATGTTTTCTTCTGGCACTTGTTCAACTTTCACTTTCTGCTCAACATGTCCAAGTGAGTGGAATATGATGGGTTTCGACCCTTTTCCTTTAGTTTGGACCACAATCTTATTATATTTCTCCACATAGGTACATTCTGTCTTCCTTAATGGCAACATGAACTCACCCTTGAGATCCAAAATTGGATTTATTGGGGCTAGAGCCTTTGCCCCCGGTTTCCTTTCGAACTTTGGCACATATCGAAAAGTTCTTTTTGTTGAAACTGGAATAGGCT